TCGGTGTTTGATACCCTGGACCTCAAATGGTGCTCTACTGATACTCTTAAAACAGCTGAAATGCCATTATATTGATTGCCTTTTGTGTGTGCAGAGGGAATGTACTTGATGGAAGTGGATAGAGTCTTGAGACCGGGAGGTTACTGGGTTTTATCCGGGCCTCCAATCAACTGGAAGACATATTACAAGACGTGGAAACGGTCTAAGAAAGAACTCAAAGCTGAGCAAAGGAAGATAGAGGAGATAGCAGAGTCCTTATGCTGGGAGAAGAAGTATGAGAAAGGAGACATTGCAATCTGGAGAAAGAAAACAAATGACAGATCATGTAAGAGACCATCATCATCTGTTAAGACCTGCAAAGGCAAAGACAATGATGATGTCTGGTACAAGCCAATGGAAGCATGTGTAACTCCATTCCCTAAAGTATCAGGAGGAGAGCTAAAGAAGTTTCCTGAGAGGCTATTTTCAGTCCCTCCTTGTGTAACCAAAGGTTTAGTTGAAGGTGTGAACACTGAATCATATCAAGAAGATAACAAGCTGTGGAAGAAACGAGTGAGTAACTACAAGAGAATCAATAGACTGATAGGTAGCTCTAGATACCGTAACGTGATGGATATAAATGCTGGACTTGGTGGATTCGCTGCTGCGCTTGAATCTCCTAAATCTTGGGTTATGAATGTTGTTCCAACCATTGCTAAGAACACTCTGAGTGTTGTCTTTGAGAGAGGTCTCATCGGCATTTACCATGACTGGTAATGACAAAAAAAACTCATAACAGACTGATCATTGAACAATGAACATCAAATATTGATAATGTTTAACTTTAAAAATGTGTAGGTGTGAAGGGTTTTCGACATATCCAAGAACATATGATCTCATCCACGCAAGCAATGTCTTCAGCTTATACAAGAACAGGTTAGTTCTGTTTGTTTTTGTCATAAAAGCTAAGGACTTTGAGACATAAATGTTGAAACTTTGTGATGTAGATGCAATGTTGAAGACATTCTGCTTGAAATGGATCGGATTTTGAGACCGGAAGGAACGGTTATTTTTAGAGACGAGGTTGATGTTCTAAACGATGTAAGAAAGATTGCAAAGGGAATGAGATGGGAGACTAAACTGATGGATCATGAGGATGGTCCACTCGTGCCGGAGAAGATTCTTGTTGCCGTTAAGAAGTATTGGGTCGCCGGTGACGGTGGTAGCGTAGGGAACAGTACTTCACCGTAACGAGGTTTTGAAATTGTCCCATAGTTTTAAATGTTTACTTCTTTTAACCATCAAGTTTTGTTTAAGTATAATTAAACCCCGTTGATCTTTTTTTTAATTTTACTTTTCTTTTTGACCCAAAACTATTGTAAAGTACCAATTAGAACTTCATACATTTCAGGCCCTCTATTCACAAATTTTCAGATTTTCCGTAATGGTAGGGTAGGTTTCGAAGCTGTTAAAGTGGGAAGGATTCAGACATTTGGGATTAAATTAGAAATAGTAATTCTCTCAAATAGTTTTTCTAAGCACTCAAAAAATAATATACCCAAAACAGATTTTTTTTTAGTTGGTAATTTGTTTTAAAAAAAAAATTAAAATCTTAAATCCAAAACTTCTAACCCTAAGTCTAAATTAGTTAATTCAAAAATAAAAGTACATATTTATCCTTTAATAAAAATTTATTTTAGTCATTTTCTTCCTACAAAACTATTTTATGAAAATAAACTAAAAATAACTATCCAATAAAATTTCTCAATTAGAAATTACACTTATAACTTAGAGTGTAACTTACTTTCTTTTAGTTAAAAAAGTAAATTATAATATAATATTTACAGTTTATATTAAACAAAATAGATTTTTCTGATAAAATAAAAAAATCGAACTAAAATTATATTCCCAATTTTGCTGAAAATTAATAAGATATCATAGCTGTAAACATGCTAATCTACAGAAATTTTAATAGTTAATGCTAATATGTATAATGTATTTGCATTGCATCCGGTAAATAGTATAAAGCTGGAGGGTTCCAAGTGAAAATAATACAGTAAATATAATAAAAAATAAGTAGAGTATATCAGTTTTGTATCGTTATGTGATTTGGTATAAAGGTGCCAAGGTGATCGTCTGGTGATATTGTAAAAGTTTGTGAAAATAAATTGATATAATGATTGGAAAGAGTTGTAGAGAGTTTTGTATATTGTAAAAGTTTGTGAAAATAAATTGATATAATGATTCTAAGAATTTAAAGTATATAGGTAGTATTCTCAAAATCTTGTGTTATGAGTAAAATGATGAAGAATACAACTCCCAATAACACCAACTTTAATAGATTTAAAGAATCATTAAAATTTAAACTTTTTGAATAACAATGGATTGTGCATAGAGTTACTAAATCATCAAACCAATAACACTAAACTTTAATGAGAATCTAACAATCTATAAACCAATAACAGTAGATTCTAAAATTCTGAGAATCATTATAAATATTAGTCCCACTAACACCCCCTTAAAAGTTAAAATATTAAATCGATAATTAATATAGAGAAAATTGCTTGCAATGTTTTTTTGGTCTTGCCGTCTTGAAGAAATTCGCATATGATTAGCGTATGATCGATCCAAGACTCTTTTGGTTTGTGGTCCACGTTACTACGTTAGCGCAATAAATTATTTGTGTAAAAGTAACACTAATAATACACATTCAGAGTTTCAAAAGCACTTTATAGTTTTTTTCTTTTTCTTTTTTAAAAGCACTTTATAGTTACTTCCTCAGATTTTTGGACTATTTTTCCATTGTCGGTTTGAAGTGAAAAAAAAGTTTTTTTATACATCAAAATTAATTTTTCTTTTATTTCTCCACCCTTTTTATTATATATTATTATTTTGAATTATAATATATATATTATATGTTAACGTCTAATATTTATTTATCTTTGATATTTATATGTATATGTATATATATTTAAAAAAAATAATTTTGTTAAATTTTTTTTTAAATTGTACGATTTTTGGCAGACAACTGTGTGAATGTAACTGAGTTCTGTGTGGATGCATGTGCATAGACACTTATTCATTGACGCAGGTTCGTACATGGGCCAATGTAGTGAAAGGTGGTGGGGGGGGGGAGGGGGTGGGGCTCAGCTGACCCCACTACTTTTTTAAAAAAAAATTATGTTTTATTTATGTAAAAGTGATTCCATCAAAAATAAAGATTTGATCTGATTAAAAATATAACACACGAACAAAACATTAATTTTTAAAAAATTTATACATTATAACTAATATTTTATATTCTCTATATGTTAATATTTAGATTTGTATTTATTTTAACCTCAATTTTATAAGTACTAAACAACTATAAATCAATAATAAGTTTTTATCTTAAATTTTAGTTTTATTAATTTTAAGTCCAAACTGTATAGGCTCAAGTTGTATAATAGTTATACTAGAGAAATATTAAAAACTTACTAACAAATTTGGAAAAAAATCTTTCCATTTCTCAACCAATGCGAGAGCTAGCTTGTGCTCTACAGTTTTAAAATTAATTTAAGGTTGGTTTCTTTATTTCTATGTTTTTCTAACTTTTTATTTTTATGTTTTACTTTGATCATTTGTTATTACTTTTATTAAACTAAAAAATGATCACAAACATTGATTCAAATTCAAAAAAAAAAAAAAATCAGTATGGTTTATGTTTATAATATGAATATTTTTAACAATTAGTTTCATATTTAGAAATCGACTATTTTTAATTTGTTAAATAACTAATAGATGAATTTATGAATATGAAAAAAAATATTGTGATGAAATGTACGAAAAATTGAAATGTTTGCTGATTTGAAATTTTATGAACCAAAAATGATATAATCTAGAGAGTATTTTTCAATGGTTGGTTTATAAATTTTTGAAGTTGTTTTTGAATTTGTATGTTGATACGACAACCATTAAAAATGTTTTTCAAAGATAAAAATATCAAAATTTCTAAATATTTTATTTAATTTTGTGAAAATTTTCTAAAAAAATTAATGCAGCCGTGAAAAAAAAATTAATTTATGAGTCCTCGTAAAATAAATTTATAGTTTGCGATTTTTTTATAAATTATGGTTTAATTTTTTTTATCCCGGTATAAAGTTTTTTTGGCTCCGCCACTAAGTTCGTAGATGCATGGTTGTGAACAGTCGGAACAGAGATGCGTGAACGCAGGTCCGTGAATGTGGATGCATGGACGCATATATATTTTCGTGAATGCATTTATGTCGAAAGGTATATGTCCATGACAAAAATTCGTAAGTAAAAGAATATTGTTTTAATTGGGTGGATAGTGGATATTTAAGGGATTTGTAGTTTAGACAATGGCCAGGGAAAAAGAAACAGCAGAAAAAAATAAATCGTCATAGAAATAGTATGGCAAAATTGTGGCTAGATGTTTAGCCATTGTTATTTCCTGGCCAGGTCGTGGCTATTTTAGCCACACTTTAGTCATGGTTTTACTGTTGTTGTGGCTATTTACTGTAGCCACCGAAGTAAAAAAGTCATGGCTAGGTGTTTAGTCACTGTTATTTTGTGGCTAACTGTAGCAAATTTAGCTATATTGTACTTCGTGGTCAGCTCGTGGTTATTTTAACCATATTTTAGACACAATTTTTTTATTATCGTTTCTATTTTTAAATTGTAGTGTAATTTTTTTTTTTGCCATGACAATGTTATGGCTATGTCGAATTATTGTAGTGCCGGGCAGTACGAATAAACACAAAAATTTAACCAAAATCTAAATAGAAATTTAAAAGAAACATTCTTTATTAAAAAGCTTACAATGGACAACACACATCCTTTATTAAACTGTTGACACACATCCTTTATCAAGGTAGACAACATCACACTTACAATAAAACATACACATGCATGGTAAAACCAGACTTCGGGTGACCTTATTTATTGAATTAACGAGAGAAAGATTATAAAGAGTAACCTCCTTAAGCTCCTCCGTTACCACCTCCATCACCGGAATCAGTCTAGAAGTAAGCTCCAATGGCATCAATAGCAGTACCACCACGTCCATAAATTCCAAGAAGCTTTTCTCCATTTTCACCTTTGAGCTCGAAGTCTATTCCCTTCGTCTTACCGAATAAAGGGGAAGTATATCCTTTGGAAGTTGTGAAGTACAGCGACGTGATAAGCGTTGTATCATAGTTGAAAATATGATTGTAGCTTCCACCAACGGCCGTGATACAGTCCTTCGGATAATCCACCGTAAACTGTATTTCATTTTTCATTAGAAACAACTAATTAATAGTGAACTAAAAGAATATTAGCAATTAAAAATATATATTTTTACCGTTCCTAGTTCCCCGCGGTTTGTCCCATGTTCACGGATTTCAACTTTTCCACACTTTTCGTATTCGATCTTGATATAAGTTATACTGAATTCATCAGCTCCGACGGTTATACTCTTCACACCATCGAAAACACCATCGTCGAATGGTGTTCCCTTGATGCCACCGAGCGGTCCGAAGTAAGCTCCAATGGCATCAAGAGCTTGACCAGAGCGTCCAAAGAATCCAAGAAGCTTCTCTCCACGTTTACCCTCTAGCAAAAACTCTGTCCCAGCTGGTTTTCCAGAAGCTGTTGCGTCACCAAGTACCGGAGATGTTCTTCTAGTGTTGGTTTTAAATATTAGCGATTTGATCAGCACTGTTTCATAGTATCGAACATGACCATAGCTCCCACCAACAGATGTGATATATTCATTTGGATAATCCACTGAAAACTGGATTTCAATAGAAACAAATAGATCAATAACATTTAAGGGTTCATTAACAAAAATATGTTAATTTCATTTTATATTCAAAAACTCACACATGATGTAAAAATGTTTTCTTTAGTTGAATAAATTTAACATTCTTTAAAAAAAACAAAAATATGTTAAACAATAACAACAATGTCACAATATTTTTATTACCTCTTTTAGTTCTCCTCGAATCGTCCCGTGTTCACGGGTCTCCACTTTCCTGTCTTTTTCGTATTCGATCTTTATATATGAAATACAGTTATAAGGAAATCCCTCTATTGCGACAGTTATTTTCTTCACACCAATGAAAATGCCATCATCAAATGCATCTCCATGTATACCACCGCGCGGTCCCACACCTCCTGGTGAACCGAAATAAGCTCCAATAGCATCAAGAGCTTGACCAGAGCGTCCAAAGAATCCAAGAAGCTTTTCACCATATTTATTCTCCAGCATGAATTCTGTCCCAGCTTTTGTCCCACCAAGTACCGGAGATGTTTTCCCAGTGTTCGTTTTAAAGAATAGTGTTTTGATCAGCACAGTTTCATAGTATTCAACATGATCATAGCTTCCACCAACAGATGTGATATATTCATTCGGATAATCAACCAAAAACTGGGTTTCATTTTCCAAAATAAAAAAAAATCATTAGTTTTAAGTTTGATAAAGAACTAGTTGAAGAAGACTAACCAAGTTCATGAGATTAGTGTTACCTCTTGTAGTTCTCCACGAATCGTCCCATGTTCACGGCTTTCAACTTTCCCGTCCTTTTCATAGTCGATCTTGATGTATGATATACAGTTAAAAGGACTTCCCTCTTTTCCCACAGTTATTTTTGTCACACCCTCGAAAACACCATCGTCGAAGGCTGCTCCATTTTTTCCACCGAGTGGTGCCACACCTCCTAGTGAACCAGTGTCGAAGTAAGCTCCAATGGCATCAAGAGCTTGACCAGAGCGGCCAAAGAATCCAAGAAGCTTTCCTCCATTTTTACCCTCCAGCATGAACTCTGTCCCAGCTGGTTTTCCACAACTTGTTGTCCCACCAAGTACCGGAGATGCTTTCCCAGTGTTGGTTTTAAAGATTAATGATTTGATCAGTACACTTTCATAGGACTGAACATGCTCATAGCTCCCACCAACGGATACAATGTATTCATTCGGATAATCCACCGAAAACTGAATTTCAGTTTCCCAAAAAAAAGAAAATAAAATCATCAGTTATAGAGATTTTATATGAAACTAAGAAGAATTGAAGAGTACCATATAGCTACATAGAAAACTAGATATATTGATTACATAAGTAAAACTATGCTATTATTTTAGGATGTATATTTACTTTGCATATATATATATATATATATATATCTGATATTAGAAAGTGTAATTAAATAAAATAAATATTTTCTATAACATAGTCATAATTGACTTATTTTTGCAAAATATATTTTTTTGGTGTCAGTCAAAAAGCATCATTTTAGTTCGTCAAATCATTTTGATCTTAATACTAGTAACCAACAATTATAGCAGATTAATTAACGTTTGGACTAAAACGGTTCTGGTCAATACAACTAGGGACTAGAAAAGTCTAGTTAACAAAATTTTGAAAATGAAGAATTGAGTGATTGACAATTGAAGGTTTGGTTAATCGAACATGTGTAATATGTTTTTCGCACTTTTGCCTTTATACCTCTTTTAGTTCCCCACGAATTGTCCCGTGTTCACGGCTGTCAAGTTTCCCGTCCTTTTCGTATTCGATCTTGATATATGATATACAGTTAAAAGGACTTCCCTCTATTGCGACTGTTATTTTCTTCACACCGTCGAAAACACCATCGTCAAATGCTCCCCCCATGTTACCACCCATGTCTCCCACCTTTTTAGACATTATTTCCTTCTCGTCTCTTCACAAAAACCTAGGAATGAATCAAGGAGCATCAAACATAGTACTTTGTTATCTCAAACTTCACATAAATTCACATGAAAATGTAAAGAAAAAACAAAGAGAGAGAGAGAGAGAGTACTTGAGTGTCAATATGAGGATGAGAGTGAGTTGGGGGATAGGGAAATGGTTTGATATTTATAGCCATTTTGCGATAAGGTTACTTGAGTTATTATATTTGTCACATGGCGATATTGAGCACCTTTTTTCCTCCCTTGACGAAAAAATGAAAAGAAAAAAAATACTGTCCTCTCAGTTTTCACACACCTGAAACGAATAAAGACGATTTTGTACCTAAATTATGTTCCCATTTGTTTTGATTGTAACAGTAGATCTGTAGATAAAAACGTACAAGACCCAATGATAATTAAATTGCTTTAGGTTAAAAAACAGTGCATGAAAATGGTCAAAAGTGTTTTGACATTCAGAGTTAAAAAAAAAAGGTCAAAAGTGTTTTGAGTTTTTGATAAGATGTGATCTGTACAGTTTTAAGAACTTGATTAGCGAATAAATGATGTAGAAAGTTCTTTAAAAGCTGTCAAAAAAATTACAGTCCTAACCAACAATGAACACTGTATGTTGCGAATATTTATCATAATAGTATAATGATAATTGATAAGTTTCAAAAAAATATGTTTTGTTAATTTTTAGCCAAATTTGATATGATGCATTTATAATGCTACAATGATTTGAACGCTAAAACTTCTGAAATGTACAACAAAAGAAATAGTAATTATGAATTATACAACAAAAACTAGAGATCATAGGTCAAAACTCACAACTATAATTTAAACTGAACTAGAGCTAATCAATTTGGTTGTTTGTAGTTGGTTTCCTCGAGAATTAAGATATAAACAATAGATAAAGTGGATGATTTGTTGGGACTTGACTGTAGAATTTTTGATGTAAAACTGAATTTGTAGAGTATTTTATGTAGTTGAACTTGATAATTAAAAATATTCTTACATCAATATTTTTTTCTACGGCTTACTAAATCATCTTTAGATCATAGGGTTTTCCTTTTTGAAGATTTTTAAACCTTAATAAAACATAATTAGTAAGTTTTATGATGGTAGATAAAAGTTAAAAATAAAGATATTTAATACACCCCAACCTATTACCCCCAAAATTAGTTAGAGTTATCCATTATCACATGGGAAATTAAATATTTTTTGAATAAAAGATGAAAAGAAAAAGAATGTCCTTCTCAGTTTCCACACGCTAGAAATCAAATACGGGGGTGAGGGGGGGGGGGGGG